CAAACATGACACTCCGACCAGCATTTGTAACGTGTCTTGCATTTATAGATAAAACAGGAACCAACGCGTTTGACCATGTCAAAGCCTTTGGAAAGAAGATATCCCTTTTTGGCTTCAGCTTTTTCATATTTTTCATATTTTCTTTTAAAATCCTAGAGAGAAATTACACTATTGGTCCCTAATGTATCATTTGAGTACCAAGTTTGTATATTAATCTCTAAATAAGCAAGTTTCAGTCCAACCTTCAAATCTTCATTAGATAATCACGTGATACTCATACAATTGACAAGACTTCAAAATTTTTTAAGAACCCATTCAAATTAAGAAGCAAAATCTAACTTTATACCATTGGACATGATACCATTTTGATAGATTAGCTTAGCGGTTTTCTATATGTGTTTAATAATATTTAGTGGGCATTACAATATAATGTCATCGACAATTTTGGAGAGAGTCAAAGTAAGAGATGTATGATCGAAATTTCATTTCTAAATTATTGTATGAATAATAAGAGTCGAAGGGATAAAAGGGGAAAAATGAAGGAAATTTGTTTGACAAAATTTTCGTAAATTTTGATACTGTGGTTGAAAAGTTAATAAAATTTGTAAATTTAATAAAACTTACGATTAAGTTGAAGTTTGACCAATAGAAAAGAAAGTTTTATTAGAATGTATATACTTACGTAAGGCTTTATATCAACTCAATCTGGTCGGAATGAACTCTTACATCTTTATTACTTCTATGAAACTTAAAATCTTTTTTGTAATAATTAAGATTTAAAATCTTGAAGTTTAGCTTACTGGTAGTTTAATATATTTTTTTATTAGTTTTTTTTGTACGATGAAATTCCTTGTGAAAGAAACTAAGAAAGTGAGAGGGAAAAAAATATATATATTTTATATAGAATAAGGTAAACTTCATCATTTGTAAGTCAATATTTTATAATTAAAAATTGGAAATATCAAATATCTGTTAAATTTCTCTCTACTGTAGAGGTTGACTTGCATTTTGAGTTGTGACTTTTCAATTCACCGAACTCTATAATATATCTATCAAGAATACGTTTGAAAAATATTTATAAATGATTTTATTTATATATAGATAAAAATGAATAAGGGTTTGTTCGGTAGTAATTATGATAATTGATTTTTTTCACTGTTAAAAAGAAAATTGGATCCTACATATGAGAGAAGAAGTAAAAAATAATATTAACTTAGGGATAACGGTCAAAAAATTAATTCTTGAGGGGTGAAAAATCAAAATCAAACATGCAGATGAATAGTACTTGTATAAATCTTACAAAATGTCTGAGAAACATAATTTAAAATTTATAAACATAAGTCAAATATAGACTAATATTGGCAAATTCGCAATTAAACTAATACTAAAAACAATTATAACCTTCATAATTTAAATTCTTTATTGACTAGATATGTGTGTGTGTGTGTGGGATTTGAAAATGAAGTTTGCAAAGTTGGTTGGGAACACAGACAAAAAGAAAAAAACGTACTCCAAAATTTATGTAGAGGCCACTATTGTTGTTTCTAGAGTTTAAATTCACTCATTTGAAAACAATCCGACAGAATTACCTGAATGCAAGAATTGATCAATAGGATCAAAAATTGTAATTCGAGCCCACCGACTTCACGATGTGTCCTTAAATCGAATTTACTGTCTTCAATGGTGCTAAAGGCGTCCAGCAATCGTTTCCCAGGATAAAACGAATTTTTCGTCTCCTACGGAAGCAGCACTGAAGTCTGTAGGAGTTCCAACGAACTCAACGAAGTGTTTTTTAGTTCGAGACAATATCAGAACGAGAGAGAGGAAAATGAGATTCAAAGTACAGAAAGTTTGCAATGAAAATGGTGTAAATTTTCTGGTAGAAAGGCTGGCTATTTATAGACTTGTTCGTGGCCATTCGAACAGTCATCACCTTTCAGACAAGCCTCAAAAATCCGAACAGACATACTGTTCTTAAAAGTCGTGTCTGTTAAGTCGGCTAACAGTCGACTGTTAAAAGAAAATAAAACACCCGGAATAAGCCAAAATTTAAATTTCATTTTGTACCCAAGAATTTGATTATTTACAATTTGGCCCAAAATTTTAAATAAATTTTGTCCAAAAAGTTAATATAGTGTAAAGGTCGACCTGGACCCGCACCGAACCGAACCGGACTCGGGCTCGGACACGGGTACGTGCTCGTGCTCGTGCTCGTGCCGTGCCGTGCCGAGCCGGCCGGTAGGACGGACGGCGACGGCGACGGCGACGAATGCGTGTGGGTTTATGACCGAACCCAATAGGATATAGGTCTTCCCCCTTCCAAAGACTATTGGTACCCCTTGGGGCCCAAACCCAATTCCAAACTTCCACCTTATAAACCACACCAAAGTTTCCTAACTTTCCTATGTGGGATAAGTGTTTGACAAATCAAATTCTTCCATAATCCTTAGTTTATGTGGGTTACTTTAACACTTAATATTTCATTCAATTTTAAATGGTT